TCCCAAAATTAGTCCGCAGAACCAGCATTACAAACTCAGATAAGAAAACCCCAATTATCCTCTCAGATCAAATAAGATAACCGTTTGTGAATTACCAGACGAATCCAATAAAAAAAAACTGAATCTTGATATCAATACGATAATACAGAAATTGATGACTTGAGATGTTGGAGTTTTTAGATGGGTTACCTTTGTTGATTGAATATTCTGATGTTTTTCTCTTGTGAGGAAAGGCTGACAGAGCTCAGAGAAGTAAATATTTTCTTGTGGCGTAGAAATATGAGAAAACCCCCTCAACTCTATTTCTTTTTTTCTCTGCCTTTCTGTAGCTTACATTGTGTTGGGTTGCCTTTGTCGCTATTGGTTCGAAAGAAAAATCAATTTCTTCGAGAACAATTTGAAAGGGTTATCTGCGTCTCTGCGGTATAGTATGAAAGTTTCTGCGTGTCCACTCAGGCTTGAAGGCTGAATGATAAGTTTGATTTTTTCAACAGAAAAAAATAAATGACCAAAAAAAAACAGAAAAAAATAAAATAATAATTGCTCTTTCTCATGGTTGTATTTGAACTTTGAATTGAACTTCAATGTTTTGGTGTGTTACATTTTTTTTTTGTTGGTATTAGGTGTTTGATCTCATGATGATGGATCCGACGTTGGATCTCAACTATCTATCTCAAATTTCTTAAACAAAATCTGTAAACTCATAATATTTTGTGTTTACAGTTCATTCCTATATTGAGGGCTACCTTTTAAGTTGTCTATTACATTTTTAATGATAGAAGTTGTCAATAAGTTTTCGAGGTAATTAATAGGTTTTGGTTAGTGAGAGCTTGACGAAAAAAAAAATTTGTTAGTTTGGTGCATAAATAAGAATACCTAAATCTCAAAAACATTTAAAAAAAAAAAAAAGTGGGGCTTGATACAAAATCATAATCTTTTTTTAATTATCAAGAGATAGTGATAAGCAAAAGTGTAAATCAACTTGGATTTAAGTATGTTTAGATTAACCTTAACTGTTATTGGTGGATCACTAGAAGCTAAGTTTTGATTCCCGTTCAACCTTATTTTAATATAAATATATAATCATTCAAGTCAAACTCAAGGCGACGTCAAATTGAATTCCTAAGAAATAATTTTAAATATTAAGTCATAGAAATTAATAATCAATCTTTATATTATTATGAATTCAACAAAACAAAACACCATAATATAGTTAAAATCACCTATAAACAAGTTCAAATTTATAAAAAAAAAAAACTATTAGAAGAGAGCAGCGTATATAATTTAGAAATAAATTTAGGTAGTTCATCTTCTTTCTCGTAGTTATGCAATACTAAAACTAATAACTATTTTTAAACACAAGTGTATTCAAGTGTACGTTATTTGAATTCAATTCATTTGTAAAATACATTTAAAATTCTTATTAAATTTAGTTTATTTTATAATTTGAACTAAATTAAGATATAGTAAAAAAAAATTATTTCAATGGTCAGGAGTGTCTATGTCAACTTATGCGTATCTTGATTAATCTCTTCTCAAATTCGACTAAAAACGAGTCATTCATGTCGAAATTAGAGGTATTCATGAGATAATCTCTCATGACTGACCCAAAAAAATTGTTAAATTTAAAATTTATGACATCNAAATTAAGATATAGTAAAAAAAAATTATTTCAATGGTCAGGAGTGTCTATGTCAACTTATGCGTATCTTGATTAATCTCTTTTCAAATTCGGCTAAAAACGAGTCATTCATGTCGAAATTAGAGGTATTCATGAGATAATAAATTTATGACATATGAACTTACAGTTCAATCATATTATCCGTGACTTCTTCTTAAAGTTAAGGAAGGATAAATTTAAGAGCACAGTTGTTGGTGAAACAGCAAATTTATTGTATGTGCAAGTACACCAGATTCTATCCATGGTTGGGGTCCACTAAGATGCTCTGTAATGGTTGTAGATCTAATTAGCATAGAGGCTAGCTAGCTGGGCATGGGCTGGTCAAAAATTTGGTGATGGAACCATGGATCGGAGGAATCTACATTCTACACTAAATAAAGAGGCAGAGCTCTTCTGTTCTATTCTGTCTTCTGNTATTGTATGTGCAAGTACACCAGATTCTATCCATGGTTGGGGTCCACTAAGATGCTCCGTCATGGTTGTAGATCTAATTAGCATAGAGGCTAGCTAGCTGGGCATGAGCTGGTCAAAAATTTGGTGATGGAGCCATGGATCGGAGGAATCTACATTCTACACTAAATAAAGAGGCAGAGCTCTTCTGTTCTATTCTGTCTTCTCCAATTTAAATTTGAAAGTACCGCCATTAATTTCAACGAATAATTCAAATAATAATCATGATAAATTTTAAATTCAGATATTTTAAATTTGAATTTTGATAATTCATGAAAGTTAGGTTATGAAAGATTTATCTCACATGAATACTTTAGTTCCAACATGGATGATTTATCTTTGATCGGACTGGAGAAAGAATTAGTTAAGATACACATAAATTTATTCGAATAATATAAAATTTCTCCTAATTTTTTTCCCGCTCAACTAAGATACTCCTTACCATCAGAAGACCTCGCAAATACACTTTTATGTAATAAGCTCCGAGCATTCATAAATAAAATATTTATGTTTTCTATATTTTAATTGGATAGCAAGAAATTTTTTTAAAGAACATTTGTATCAAGTGAGTCTTGCTCTTCATATCAATTGAGATCAAGTCCTATTGTATATTTTAAGAGGAATTTGTGCTATTATTGAACTTTTTTGGGTCGGGTTGTGTTGTTTGAGGTGTGTTAAATATTGTAAAATCACTTTATAAAATTTTTGATTTGAACCATATAAAATATAACAAACAGTTACAGTAAAGAGTTATACAAAAACAAAAGAGTTACAGCAAGGTAATAAAACAGTAACAACAAACAGATACAAGTAACTGTTTGTTTAAACAATAAAAATACTAACTCGATTGCAGAACAGAAACTGTTATTGAATTTTAAATAGATCAAGGCTAGTGTTTGACACTATCTCCTTAAAACAGATTTCGCCCCCACACACGGTGCTTATGAAAAATCGAACATCTGCCTCCCAGAATACAATGATTTTTACACGAACAGAAGTAGCACTCCAATTTGCTCGTCCAGCGAACCAAAATCGTTTTGTGTACTCTCTAAATG